AAAAAAAAAAGAAGAAAAAATCAGACTCTCAACTGCAACCCGTTTTCCACCTTATCTCTCTCCTCGTTTGGTTCTGTTCGTGTCTCATCTCAGCAAACCAAGGCAAATCTCGCGTTCTAGGGTCGAAACTTAGTGTGCTCGAACCAGATGATAAAAAATGTATGTAATTCGGGAGTTCCGCACAACGTTGGGACGCTTTCTCATACACGCAATTGACGAGAAAAGTTAAATCATTGACCGGAGGGCCAAAGTCTGTAAATAATAGAATTAAAAAAACCCAAAACAAACCAAAACAACACCCCCCCCCAAAAAAAAAAGAAAGAAAAACACAAAACCGTGGTCGTTGATTGCTTTTAGTACGGACAGGTCCGGGTGCAAACAGTTGAAACAGGTAACTGGGAACGTATGGGGGGGGGGGGGGGGGGGGGGCGGGGGGGGGGGGGGGGGGTTCTGAGAGAGGTAATGGAGTCGTGATAAAGATACCAGTATACCAGTTGAGCCCCTCATATCTAGTTGGGCAAACAGAACACAACATTAAATCATGTCTTGACTTCTGAGTAGCCTTTCATATTTGAACAGAGAATATATTTTTTCATGGAGGTGTTTTTATGCTCCCATCGATACAGTTTAGATCTAGATCTAGATCCTTTTAGGAGGCGGGCTTTGACTCTGCCTGTCCGAGGCAATCCGGGCTCAGAAGGATATAACATCTCAGCAGAAAAACCGAAATACATGTACTCCAAAACATTTCTTCTTACTTGGGACTCAAACTTCGGTCCCCTGCTTGCAACGCTGAAACGCCAAAATGCTACACCACGCCACAGAAGCCAACGGGTTCCTTTTCAGTTCTCAGAGAGATAATGAATAATGATAACAATCCAAAGGTCTCTCTACGCAATTAAGTCCAGCTGAGCAAATAGAATACTAAATAAAATCTCACGGTTTTGACGTCTGAGTAGGCCTTCATAAAGTTTGTATTTGAACCGAGAGGGCAAACATGCCCCCCCCCC